ATGTAAGTAGTAAAGCTTGTTTCCCTCAACATGAATCCAATAACATCTGTGATTTATTAACATCAAAGAGGTAAAATACTTTTTTTCCCCCTTAAACTAAACTGACTCGATAAAAATATTTTTTACGACAAAATCTTATTTCATTTTCAACTTCTGTTATTTTCACACGAGATATATACATCTATAAAAAATATTTTAAAATCTCTAAGAATTCTTTACCTTTCATGTTTATCCCTAGGTTAGTAAATATTGACTATAATACCTAAAAATAATTTAAAAAACTCGACTCCAGGATACAGACTGAGAATATTTCCCCAGCAAGACCTCGGTCACCTTAACACTTCAGATGCTTTTGGGAAACAGGTCCCTGATGGGCAGAAGGAGCAAACAGCTTACAGGAAGTGTTTGGGTAATGAAGCTGGAACAGAACCAGTAGCCATCACTCAGTCAGTGCTTTAATTCACTCAGCTACTGTAGAACTGCTGCTGTCATTCAGTTTCCTATGAAGATTCACTTCCACTTTCTCATGAATGCATGTTTGTTTGATTTGAACAGGGTGTCACTTGTAGAAGTCTGCAACAAGAAAAAAGAATGCTGAAATTGTGAGATTATTCACAGACAAATAGGTTTGAGAATGATGGCAGGTCTATTTAATCTAATTATTAGAATGCATTAACATAAAAGACATTTTTAAATACTTCAAACAATCCTTTTTTTATATTTTAATTGACTTGTTTTACCTGTTTGTGTATCGTTTTCTTGCATTATTTTTGAGCTGGTGTTTTCATGGTAAAAAGAGATTCTAAGTCTTAAGGATATTAAAAGTACATTAGTTAATGATTTGGGGGATTGGGGTTATGGCTTTCTGCTCAGGGTGACACACCTTGGAATGAACCAGCCAAGCTTTCAGTTTGTCCAAGGATTGTTCTACTGCATCTTAATAATGATGCTTAATGTTTGATATAGGGGCTGTACTGTAAATACTATACAACGCTTAGTTTAGCATATTTCATTTTTTAAACACACATACACAGGATGGCTTTGTGACAAGCCTGAAAACATGAAAAAGGGAGTAAAAGCTGTGAAATCTCACAGAAAAAATAGACAGTTGTCAATTTTCTTAAACTTGTTCAAATTTCTTTATTTAGATAATATATCACCAGGACCACATCTGCTATTAGTAGGTGTTTAGAAAACTACACAAACCAACATCATTATGGTTCTATTTTTTTTTCTTCATTATATCCTGAACTTAAAAAAATTCAGAAAATATAACATTATCTATGTGGGATGTGAGAAAGTTAGTGCCAAACCATCGCAGGACTGGCTTGTGTATGTTATTTAAAATCCACTAAGAGATACCTGCAAATGGTTAATTTGGCAGAACAAATACCAAAATAAACTATTATTATTATTATTATTATTATTATTATTATTATTATTATTATTATTATTATTATTATTATTATTTATCTTTTGGTTGTTGATGTTCCTCTTCCATCCTATATTTGACATCCCCCCTTTTTTCTATCAAACAAGCCTATTACCGCCTTGCTTCAACACAACAGGGTCAGGTTCAATCAGGGAATTGGAAAATATCATTTCTGACGGGGGAATAGATTCCGTTTGTTCTACCAATCTCTCCTACTAATTACCCAAATGGACAGGAGCTGTCAGGAGACAATAACTATTCCCTAATAGAATTTGCCCCCCAAGTGCAATTTAATTTTCTCCTCGGTGCTCTGTCCTCGAAGGTTTTTTCCCCCCTCTCGTTTTTTTTCCCTGCCTCTCTCTCTCTGTTCCTCTCCTGTTTTCGGACCAAATGCTTGGGGACATGCGATGCCTTCGCTACCTTTGATGGTTTTTGTCGCTGGAAGCAGGGGAAAAGTGTGGAGTTTCTGTCGCAGCTGCTTGCACGGAGGGGAAGAAAAGGAGGAGGAGAGATGGGGAGCGGAGACACCCTGCATGGATCCTTGGAACCACCCATGATTAGGTAGGTTTGAATATGTGGCCATTCAGCTTTTTATATCAGGGAAAAGTTGTTCATACAACGCGTTAACAACCAAACTTTTCAGCTGTTTGTTCACAAACTGATGTCAGGATTATTTGGAAATAAAACGCTGGTGTCCGGATGTTTGTCTTAAAGTGTCTGAGCATGACCTTTATCAGAATGATGTCATGCAAAACAAAACCAAACAAATTGTTTAAGCACAGATCCTTGCAGAGCATAATAAATTCAGTCCTTAATGTTTCTCTCTAAGATCATAGCAAAGAAGGCCTGCTGGGCTGTTTTATGACTGATGGCACCCACAGTACGCATGCATTACGCGCTCCATAAAAAGCCTGCAGGGTGCTCTGTGTTTCTGACTCCCCAGTAAGATGGATCTGTGAATCGCAGTTGTCAATGAACTCGTCCCCTGAAATATTAGATCTAATTAGAGGTGGTTGGGTCACTGGTGGTGGCAAAGGAGTTTGCCCCCTGTTTGAGTTATTGCCCATGAGCTGCTTGCTCAACAAATTATTTCCCCTTCTCTGGATTTTTACAAACAAAAAAGTCTCACTGCAGCATGTTTTTATTCAGGTTATAGCCTCTGTTCCTTTCTGATCTCTATATTATTAATACTAATACTACTATTTAAAAATATCTGTTTAAAAAAAAGAAAAGGTTGAAGTTCTTCATAAAATGTTCACTGCTTATCATTCTTTTTTAGGTTTTTAAATTTTTTTCAATTATAGTACTACCAGAACAATAAATCTGGATGTAGATTATTTTAAGAGAAACAAAAATCATCCTATAATGGTCAAATTTCTTTGGTATGTCATTTTAAAGACTAAAGCAGATGTGCGTACTAATATCTTTTCTTCTACGCTCTCAATTATTGTAATTGCATCGCGTTTAGCTGATAAGAGCATTTCCCCCCATCTGCATTGTTTTGAGCTCAGCCTTGATTTCAACAATCAGAATAATTGAAGTGATGGTAGGCCATACATAAGATGTTCAAGGATTTCGAATGAAACCCTGATTTATGGAAAATAAATTTGTTTTACGTGGATTTGGTGCAGATGGACGGATGATTGGAATGTTTAGACGCGTTAAAACTGCAGAAAAACTTGAAAGATTAACGCGCCTTTTTTATAAAGAGGTTGATGTCTGCTTTTTATAACATGTTTTTCTGAAGCGCTATGCATTTAGATGAAAGAGGCTATAGAGCTAAAGCAATGCGATGTATAGAGTGATATAAGGAATAAGTTTGAAATTGCAGTTTGGGCAAAGATCAAGCTTCTGCAAACGTGCATTCTGCAGATTTACTAAAAAGCAAATCAGAGTTTTCTACTTTAGTGCACGTTATCTAAACGTAAAAAAATTATTAAATTATGCTTTATAACAAGTTTGACTTGATAAGGTCAAATGCAGAGATGTTATGCTTGAGTTAAAATTTGGATTTATATGTAGCCTACTTATTTTTTAGTCTACTTATAATTTTACATGATTGTTTTTATATAGGCTACTATTTTAGGATAATATTAAAATAAACCCGTTGGTCATTTAATTGCGTTAAATAAAGGGCCAATCTAAAACTGAATCGAATTTACAGTCAAATTAATTTATATAATAACATTTATAAAATTAAGATAAAACATGCAAATGTTTCTAGTTGAAAAGTTAACGAACGCACATGGATCCTGGCATCAGACTGCAAATTATTTGGATGAGGCACCCAGGAAGCCAGGCGCCTCTGACATGGGCGCTTTTCTTTTCTTTTTCTTTTCGCTTGAAGCAAATTGGAAGCGAAGATTGAGTTCATCCTGCTTGAACTAGCCACCCTCCGGAGGGACCATCTTCTGTGGGAGAGCAGTGTCAGGCGACGCGCAGAGAAATAGATAGTGTCAGGAGAGACTGCGTTCATGCGCCTTATCCTCTCTGCCACTGGGAAAGGAGGAGCTCATCCAGGTGATCCGCGGGTCTTGTGAATTTAACTCAAACACGTTTCCAATATTGTCCTTTCTATGTGATGTGAATTCACTTCTACTCCTGAGAAACCTCTCTATTCCTCTCCCCAAACAGGGGCGCTTCTAGAGTTTCTGCAAGGGGGGCAGATGGTTGTCATTGATCATTTTAGAGTTTTACTTGAATCTTACTGCCATTAAATAATATCAGGACTTTTTTGGTGGCAGGATGCATCCAAAGTGTTACCTATACATTCATTGATCTGATTTGGACACTTTTTGAGTTTTTATTATTTACCAAACATTAAATCTTCCTCTTTCCATGTCTGATATAAATATGTAAGGACGGTCATTTTAAGTGCCTTCAAATGAAATAATTTGATTTGGCTCTAAACTTCTCAAGAGAGGCGCAATATATTGATACAAAAATGAGCAAAAGTTATACTGTTATTAGAAGGGGTGTCTGTGTTGGGGGGGGGGGGTATCTTTTACGCTATCAGTGTTTTAACCTCAAGTGTCACTTTCTACATCTTTTACATGTCAATTGTAAGGCTTATTTTTAAAATGAAAAAGATAGCATATATATATATATATATATATATATATATATATATATATATATATATATATATATATATATATATATATATATATATATATATATATATATATATATATATATATATATATATATATATATATATATATATATATATATATATATATATATATATAGGCCCTTAAGCAACTCCCAGGATTCTGGCAATAAAATATTTCCCTTAGCTTTCAAGTAGCCTATTCTAAAACTGCAAACCAAATTGATAATTTTTCTTGCTGGGTTCACATCTTCAGGAGTTCCTTCTGGCCCCGGGCCCCACCGAGAGTCACTGCAGTGAGCTATTTATGGTCTCCACAGGGGCAAGGTTCCGCCTCTCCGGAGACATTTTCATACAGCCTACAATCTTAAACTCTCCCCTTCCTCTCTCCTCTCTCCTCTTCACTACTCCTGTCGAGGATGTTTTCCACCTATCTTGGGTTGGGGTGGTGGGGGGGACTCCTCCTCTGCTCCTATTGGCTCTGTGTGAGCCTATGCCGCGTTGACGTCAGCCCCCTGCGGCGCTGAATGGACCGAACAGCCTGTCTGCTCCTTACTCCAAAACAGCTCGGCAAGGCTCGGCACGGCGCAGCACGGGTCGGGCTTCACCCTGGGAATAGAGAAATACCTGGAAAAGGAAGGTTACAGGAAACAGGCCTCAACAACTGCTTCGTGTTTTTGATTTTTTTTTTGCACAAAAGCAAGGACGGGGGGAGTGCTCCCACCGCGTTGCGGGTGTATGTGCGTGCGTTTGGATCACGATGATGCAAAGTGCGGCGGTCCTACAGACAGAGAGTCCTGTAAAGAGTTTACCGGAGATTCTCGGTGTGCCACTGCAGCGTAAGACATTTTCCCATCTTCTCATCCTTGTTCTGTCGGTTACCAGTCTGAGGACAGGTTGGTGAGTGCAACCTCTGCTGCGGGGTTTGGCCATTAAAGACGGGGCTGACTTACAGCCAGATAATAAGGCAAGGAGACTGGAGCCCTATAGGCCAGTGATGTGTCATGCTGCTAATAACAAAATGCAAAAGTACGATTTAAATGGCATCAGTTCACTTTTAAACAATTCATAGCTATTTAGGGAAATTTCTGAAAAAGGTGTCAATGCAGTTTCTTGCTTCTTTAAATTGTTAATGATCATTTCTGTTCTGGAGCAATGATTTGGTGTCAGAAAGTGCTGCATCCCCAGTGCAGTGCTGCTGGACTCACACTCTGCTTCCAACGCTGTTAATTTGTAAACGAGCCTGCATGGTCAAGGGATCAGACGCGATTGTCATCGTTGCCCATCAGACAAACACGCACTGGCTTTGACTGACATCCGTTACTGAACCTAATGTGCCTTAGACGTCTTATTCAAAAGGCCCGGGCACTGGGTGAAAATGCCAGAACAATTACTTTACTGCTTTAGAACAATTATTTATACGTCTTGCAACACTTCCTAGACTTCATCATCAAAGGGAAGAAAAATATATATATATATATTTATCAGTTGCTTCTATAACCTGCAGGGCCTTTCATAATCTGATCATGGAAATACTGAAGTGCCACTGGACCCGTTTCTGCTCTGACCTAATTATTCAGGGACGAGTTAGGAAAATATACTCCCCATCTAAAGGGGGGAAAAAATCATATCATCATCATCAACAACAACAAAATTATAATAATAATTTTTTTTATTATTACTGCCGCTTAATCTGGTCCAAAAATATTACAAAGTAAATTTTAAATGTAAAATTCATGAAATATTCAAAAACAGGTCTACAAATTGATCTTGTGCGATTGATATAAAATCTATCTATCTATCTATCTATCTATCTATCTATCTATCTATCTATCTATCTATCTATCTATCTATCTATCTATCTATCTATCTATCTATCTATCTATCTATCTATCTATCTATCTATCTATCTATCTATCTATCTATCTATCTATCTATCTATCTATCTATCTATCTATCTATCTATCTATCTATCTATCTATCTATCTATCTATCTATCTATCTTCTTACAATAACCCATAGGGGTCCGGCTTATACTCTTTAATTTTATGAACTAATACAGATTAAAAGATTGGATAAAGATCCTGCCACTCAGCCCCCTGCAGTGCCAGGATTCATACTGGTTTTAAACCTGGATTATTTTTTGGAACCTAAACAACCTTTCTAAGTATTTTATGTCATTTATTATGCTATTCTTATACATTTTTTCTAAGGTATATTTATTTAATTCTTATACATTTGTCTAAGGTCCATATTTGTTTGACCAATTGCTATTGCTCTATAATTTCTTTACTGCTGTAAACACCAGAATTTCCCGATTGTGGGACAATAAAGGGATTCTCTGTTCTTTATTCTATTCTATATTAGGAAAAACACAAACCTTTGATGACTCTTGGGTTGTTGTGTTTTTTACACATTTGGAGATCATAAACCATTTATCCAATGAGATGAGGGGCTTAAAGCATGATTACGGTTTTAAAACACATGTTTAGTTCTTTTTAAATCGGAAAGTTGTGAAGAGAGGAAAGTGATGAGACAGAAAATAGACCCCCTGAAGGTGGAGGCTATGTGGTTGGTGCGCTTTTTTTTTCAGCACTACTTTGCTCATCTACACACGTCTATTTCAAACTCACTTACTTACTTTTGTAATATATATATATATATATATATATATATATATATATATATATATATATATATATATATATATATATATATATACATATATTATTGGAATAAAGCCAGACCAACCTCCAACTGTCTTTAGGAATTTAAGCTGAATCCAGAAAAAAGATTTCCGCGTGTTTTTCGCATCTATTTATACCAAAGAACGATGAAGGACCCTCTGTTGATTTTTTTTCTTGATCTGAATTGTGCAAAAATATCCAGTGTGATATAAATTTGTTCGATTTTTTTTCTTATAATTTGGCAAGAATTAATAGCAATATTCCTCGCTATTCAAAATACAACTGGAGCTTTTATTATAAGGTAGTTTTTACTGTTGCTGATATCCTTTCTCTGCACAGGAAGCAGCCCGTTACCCGGGTAAAATTGTTTCCAACATTACAACATTAACGAAAACCTTTTTTTCTGCTTAAGAAAGCACGAGAAGGAACGATGCAAATATTTGTCATAAATATGGCTATTCAATTTTTTATTTATTTATTTTTTTTTTTTTACAAAATTCGGTCAATTAAAAATTTCGCTATATTTTTATAATAATCAAGGTCTTTATCTGAGTATTTGTAGTAGGGGGGAGGGCTGTTAAAGATTTATATTTCAAAATTAAGAAAAACATGGATATAATCGCGTCTTGATCTTGATTTATGTCAGGAAGCCGTTTCACCTACAGACACTGGTTGTCACCACGCTTTCCATAAAATCATTCAGGGATTAATTAAGATCGAGATGGAACAGGCAAACCAGATTAAGACGGAGAAAATCAATACGTCGTCAGAAAGAGAAAAAGCATTTTTGCTCTGCGAGCAAACGGCTCTGAGATCAGCACCTTGGACAGAGACGGGGATTTTCACTGGGCACAGACCTGCACAGTTTTATTTAATTTAAATATATTAGTATTGCTGTGTGAGAGTTAAAAAAAATAAGTTCACATATTTAATGTGGTTTTGACCTTATACCGAGAATGTGTCATAATAACATAGAAAGCAACCGAACATCAATAAGAAAACAGGACAAGGAAACGTGATATTGGAAAACCGCAGAACTGAACCTTCCAGTTCCAAACAAATGTTTCTCTCCGTTCTCTGATTTTATTATACCAAAGGGTTACATTTAACAGTAGTTTCTTACTGCTGAAATTACGCAGCGAATGTAAATATATTTATTGTAAAATAATGTCGACCCAAATCCTCTAATTTAGAAGTACTATACGGCGAATCTTCCCGATGATGCTGATCGACCTTAACCTACTGCCTTATATCGCTGGCTGACTGTTACCCGGACTTCTCGTTGTTTCTCTTGGCAGAGATCCCTCAGTGTGCAGGCTGCAGTCAGCACATCCTGGATAAGTTCATCTTGAAGGTGCTGGACAGACACTGGCACTCCAAGTGCCTCAAGTGCGCAGACTGCCAGACCCCGCTGGCGGATAAATGTTTCTCCCGGGCGGGCAGCGTGTACTGCAAGGAGGACTTCTTCAAGTCAGTGCGCCCCTCACTGTTTTTCGTTGTGTTGTTTGCTTGGTTACGATAATGGATAATTAATGGCTTTAAATTTATGATTGGCAGATTGCAGCTTTTCAATTAAGAAGCATTTTGCAAATCGAAACTGCAAAAACAGAGGAATGAGAACACACACAGGGATTATTTAATACACACACACACACACACACACACACACACATATATATATATATATATATATATATATATATATATATATATATATATATATATATATATATATATATATATATATATATATATATAGATATATAGATATATACATATAACAGCATCTTTCCTATTTGATGTTATGCAGAACAATTTAAGAGACAAAATAAGCAGCAAAGAAGGTCTTAGTTTTCGAATCTTTAAGGCAGAGAATACTATACATTTTGTCATTGAGCTCTTTAAAATATAGCACACAAAAAAGCTACTATTCTCTAGTTAATTTTAAAATAATAAAATAATAACAATTTTTTTTTGGGGGGGGGGTGGTTACAGGCCTTGTTTAGACTTTTGGCCTTCTGACTAGTAGTGTGTAGCAACAGGTTGGGGTCAGTGCTGCAATCTGCATGCTCTAAATAGATAAACAAAACCAAAAGTACATTCTACAGCATCACATTAGAAGGAGTTTAGGTTGTGATGGAAGACTACTTGTAGTTTTGCAACAATAACTCTTTTTTCCATTCTTTCTTATTGTAACCTGCCTGGTGCAGATGCTATTTATATAATCTTTGATTTCAACACCCTAAGATTATCATGCTCTGATTATAAATCCTTGTTTTTCCCAATCTTTAATTTTTTTATTTTTCCATTTATTTTTTTCTTTATTCTAATGATTGGATTTCAAAAGCATTACAGAGTTAAATTGAGTTTGACTTTTATTCAAAACAGGATCAGCAGATCTGGGCTTTTTACTAAATCATGTTTGAAAGGTTTTAATGCTCAAACCCTGAATGAGACCCGAGGAGCTCTGGAGTCTAACTGGTTGCTAACTGTATTAGCTGACCCAGGGGGCCGACGAAGGGGACATTGGCATGTTCAAACTCCTGAAACATGGAATAGCACACGTGGGGTTTTTGCTGGTTTGGAGGCTTCACTTAGATTTTTTTTTTATTTATTCTTGATCGAGTGCTTTTATTATTTGAACCTCTGTGTTTTATTAGTTCTTACAGGGTGGGTTTACTGTTTGCTGCCTTTCTCTGCCTCCAGCTCTATAACTGTTTGCACTTAAACTGCAAAAATACAAGCATGAAAATGCACAGATATATTAAAAACTGATGCTTTGGACAAAGGCATCATATAACCTAATTGTTTAAAGAAATGCGCTGCAGAATGGGTTTATTTTTGTTTTTGAACAGCGTAACTGCTCCTAATAGAGCTTAAATTTTCATTGACTGGAAGATTTTATTATTTCAGAATTGTGTTTTCTTTGTGTAACAGGCTCCATCATCATTACCACATCCTCTAAAATCCTCCCTCTACTTCTTGTTTTCCCTCAGGCGTTTTGGGACAAAATGTGCGTCATGCCAGCAGGGTATCCCTCCAACACAGGTGGTGAGGAAAGCACAGGACTTTGTGTATCACCTGCACTGCTTTGCCTGCATTATGTGCAGCAGACAGCTTGCAACTGGGGATGAGTTTTACCTCATGGAGGATGGAAGGCTGGTGTGCAAGGTGGATTATGAAACCGCCAAGCAAAACGGTAGGTGTGCTCACTGTCAAGGCAGAACAACAAGCAAGAGTGAAGACATACTTTTTGTTTTATAAAATAATGACTGCAGATATCCAGCTATTTGTATCACTGCTGAAAGGCTCTGACCTAACTAGGCTGCATCAGAAATGCAGAAAGGTCTTGATAGAACAAGCTGTGTTCACCTTTCATCCAGGCAAAATAACTTCTGACTGTGGATCGTTGGTGTTTGTCATCTGGGTGTGTGTGGTGTTTCCGTCCCTCCCTCTCCTCTGAGATTTCTATGCATCTCTGATTGATTATGTAAAGTGAACCGATGCTCTTATATGGTGCAGCTCCAATAACTCCTCTCCTCTGGCACAGGGTAGATTTATGTCCTCTGCTGTGGGAGTGGGAGAGATGCACAAGGACAATAATACACTGCCCTGCATAACTATTTGCTTTTTTCAAACCACACAAACACACACACAACATATATATGCAGAAGTAGGAGGTCACTCATGTTTGCAATGATGTTTACAGATGACTCAGAGGGTGGGACCAAACGACCAAGGACCACCATCACCGCCAAACAGCTGGAGACCCTCAAAAGTGCCTACAAAAACTCGCCAAAGCCTGCCCGCCATGTCAGAGAGCAGCTGTCGTCTGAGACAGGCCTGGACATGAGAGTAGTGCAGGTAGTTTATTTATTTATTTTAAGGAAATTAACTGAAAAGATTAATTAACTCTGTTCCAAACATATTTTTTGTTGTTCTATAAACCAATTAAGTCGTCTGTCATTAGACATCACTCCTAGTTTCTCTGATCATCAGTAGTTTATAAACAATTACATTATGAAAAATAATTCTATAGTCTTATTATTATCTTATTATTAAAATAATGAATGCGTTGTTTAGATATTTATTATTCCAGTTTCTTGATGCGGCAACAATTTTTTTTTAACAAAAAATCTTAAAAGAACACATTTGATTTTAATCCAGTCATTAAACTGTAAACTGATTCTGTTTGATTGTTTTCACATAATGAGATGATAATGTTCTTTTTTTACATTTCTATGCATATTTTATTATATTATTTCAAATTAGAAAATAATTTTCATGTCCCAATTTTAAATATACTTTATATACTTTATCTTTCACAAAAACAAATATTTTATACAAATATAGAAACAAAAACATTTATCATTTTTATCAACCTTTAAGGTGCTTCCAACTGTCAAGCCAAGGAAATGCTAAATATTATATCATATTCACAAGCAAACAAAATGTTTGCTCACACTGATAAATGTCTCAAATTTATTTTCTATAACAGAAAGAACAAAGAAAAAATAAAGGTTATAGATAGATATTGCTTGAATAGACACAAATAAAATGGTCTGAATCCTTGATTTTTTCTCTAAATTTGCATGTTGTTATTTAACCTGTCAGGTTTGGTTCCAGAACCGGAGAGCCAAGGAAAAACGTCTAAAGAAAGATGCAGGTCGCCACCGTTGGACTCAGTTCTATAAAAGTGTCAAACGCAGCAGAGGAGGAACCAAAGTGGAGAAGGAGAGCTCAGCTGATGATGGAGGGCTTAGTGACAGCGAACTGAGCTTCAGAGGTACTTTTTCAGATAATACAGTCGCAGAAAGGGAATTATCAGACATATATTATGGCTAATAGGGTTAAGTGGGCATTCAAATGGTAAATACCATTAGAACTGCACATACCAATGCATCTTTGTGGCTTTTCATTTGCTCGCTTGTCTTCCTTGTTGGATGGTGCCACTTTGAGGCAGATCTAAAATGACTTTTCTTCTGTGACCGCTGATGCTTCCTGCCACAGTGTGTTTATGTGACGGAGCTAATAGAAATAAGCAAAGGTGCCCCAGTGGGATGGAAATTGAGCTTTAGGCATCCTCTTTGTTACTTACTGTTCACAGCCCTCTTTAGTATTTGGATAATCATAAAAGTCTCCAAACCACTTTGAAGAAGAAAGATGTTTTTATGAGAAATGAAAAAAGATGGTGAAAGAAACTCTATAAAGCATATAAGGCTTTTATTTAATTAGAGAGAGAAAGTGCTTTGTTGTTATGGAAGCCTTGCAGGGATCGATTAAAGTGTTAAACAAATACTTTATAATGCAGTATTTGCACAACATAATTCTATAGAAGAACTTTTAGGATCCAGACCAGCTTTAAACTGTTTAGAAAATGTGCCTCTTCCAAATAAAACAAGAAGGAACCTGCAGACCTTTTTAATGTCACACTTCCAATCCTTTATTGGATCTTTGCATTTTAGGTAATGAGTCAAGAACTTCTGAAATCTTAAAATAATCCTGAAAGAAATAAGTTAATAATACTTAAATTGTTTAATTTTTATTTGTCAAGTAAAAATCTTAAAGGCGTGCTGGACATTTTCCAAAATCCTAAGATTTAAAAGCTTCACAGAATGTTTGGTCACCTGGAAAAGAAAAGGATCTGCAAACTTTCTTAGACATCCCCATCTGCCTAAACTGGTAGTTTGTTTAATGAAGAACATTGATATGAGGCCAAATCTTACAGGGTTACTGTAGATAAACTGCAGAATTTCCACAGCAATAAAAAGGACGCCCTGGTCAGATAAATATTAAACCTTTTGGTCTGTGTGCATTAGACGTCCTCCTGAACAAAACACTCTTTCTCTCAGAGCAAATCATTGTTGATGGGAATACAGGTAAAGCTAAATAATGTGCCATTCTGGATGAAAAATGTGTTAGTTAAAGCCCAAATCTGGTGAAGACTGGTTTTCAGAACTGTGTCTAGTCAACTGACCCTGTGTTATTTGGCGAGAAAGAATGGGCAAAAAGTTCAGTCTAGTTTTGCAGAGCCGGTAGGCACGAAACAAAGTTACCTGGAATTGTGGCTGCAACCAATGGTTCTTTTCTGCAAAACACTGGTAGACTGCTGAGACAACTGAACACAACACTTTAACCAGTTTTTCTTACACTTCACATTAGTACACCACTTTGAGTTGTGCTATCACATAAACAGCGGGCTGAATATACTGTTGCTGCAACAATAACAAGATATTAAGGTTGTATGAATGTTTTTGAAAGCACTGTATCATCCTTAATGCTCAAATTAAACCTGTTAAAGAAGAGCAGTATAATGTCCCATTTTTGACTGATCTCTTTTTCCTGATCTCCTCTCTAGACGACCAAGTCCTGTCTGATCTGAGCCATGCAAACGGCCTTTACGGGAGTGTCAGTGACATGACCAGCAGCGCAGTTCTGAATGGTGGCTTCTCAGTTGATGCGGCTGGACAGCCCTACCAAGACATCAGACCAGGGAGCCCGTACGGTCTCCCGCAGTCACCTTCCTCTATCGCCTCCCTGCCCGGCCACACACCTCTCCTTAACAACCTGACCTTTAACATGGACAGTCTTGTGGTGCATGGGGGGCCAGGGGGAGTGGGACAGGCTCTGAGGGCCATGGCGGGGGGCCCCACCTCAGACCTATCCACAGGCAGCAGTACGGGTTATCCTGACTTCCCCACAAGCCCGGCCTCCTGGCTCGACGAGATGGACCATTCTCAGTTTTGAGCCTCCAGCTCAGTAGAAAACCTGTTGTGGGGATTCATCAAAAGGACACAACAAATTTATTTATTTTGTTTTTAAACTTTTCTCTACTTCACCCTCTAAGATTGCTATATGTTGTGTTTCTTGGTGGGGAGAAGAAGAGTGACTGGAGTCGTAACAGTGAGATATCAGCCAGACTGGATTTAAACCATGAAAAACACCCGAATGTTCAATCTCAACAATGAATCATTACATTTTTTTTATTATTATTGCCTGTTTTTATTTTGTTCAATCGTTACAAGGGAGACAGAGCTCCTAAAACATTAGTGGATTGTGCTAAACCAAACAGATTAAGGCTGTCATCTGTATCAGACCCAGAGGGCAGCTGCATGCTTCTGAATCACCATGAGTTGAACCGCTGTCCGGCCATATCAAAGCCTTCACATTGGCATTGCACTTTACTCTCCTCTTCTTTTTCTATGTGTAAGGACAGGAGTGCAGAGGAGAGAGACATATGCACAAGGCAAACACAGTGTTTCACTCTGAGAGAAACTTGCAAAAACAGTGGCACAAACATGAATCTAGAAACATGCTCATGTTTTTTTTATTGTATTACTGACAAAGTATTTCGAGAAATGGATTGATCTGCTGATCTGGGCATTCACCCATCTGTTAAAGAAGAAGCTGTTTATATGATGAGGTTTGTGACACAACAGGTCTCTGGTCATTTTTACTGGATTGTAGTCTGATTTAAATGCTTAAGAGAAAAAAAAATCTGTCAGTATTAAAACCTTTTTCACACGAGGAATCTTAACTTTCAGTATAGGTCACACATTCCAGCTATTTTTTTTTTTTTTTATTGAGCTGTAAAATTTTAAAACATGTAGATTCCATAACAGCTAAACCCAAATTGTACACAACATCGATAGGTTTTAACAAGAATAAAGAAAACCCCTTTTAAGGCTGGATCTTGTCAGTATGATCCAGCCTTCTCTTGATAATCTTCTCAGTCAGCAGCAGCCCCAGCTTTGCTGCTATCAACCTACTTCCCCCGACTCCAGATGTGTTTTCGGTCTGTTGTCCGGCTGCCCGGCCCTTTGTAGCAGAGGGATTAACACAGTCTACCACATTCATAGCTGATAATTCAGCGTCTGCAGAGATCAGTCACCATCAGCTCAAGCTTCAAAAACGATTTGCTCCAAATAGAATTTCTCATAATAAATCCCTTGTGAGCGTCATTTAACTTGTAAAACAGTTTAATACTTGTGCAAAAGTTTTCTTTCAAATGCACCCTGCCATATCTCATCTCTTTTCCTGTTTCTTATTAAAGAGAAACCAGTTGATGTGAGCACCTTTTTGGAAAAGGACCATGTATTGCTTTTTAAGAGACCAACAGATTACAGCCCACAAAATACGGTTTATTTACCTCCAAAATCACTGTATATTTTCATTAATATGTAGGTAACATGGACAAGAGAGGGTGAAACGTCTTTAAAGGGAACATTTATTTCTTAATGTGCTTATTTATGCATAATCTGTTATGACTATTTATGAAATAAATGTTATAGGTAATTAACTTTTTAAAAATATTATTTTCAAACATGGGTAAGAAAAAAACATGCCATGTGTTCATTTATTTTAATAATACCTGGTAATAGTAATTTGTCTATACCAGGTAAATAAAAAACATATTCCCTCCTATTAGAGAAGTGTCACAGCCTTATTTCATGCACAAGCCAATGGATAAGCAGTAAATGCTTTGCTGCTCACAACTGAATTATAATGATGAAGTAACCTGTTGGCTGCAATCTGGAATCTTACAGGAAAACAATGCGGAAACCCATCACTTTGGCTTTTTGTTCACTCTGTTTTGCCTCGGAAGTTTGCATCTTATTGTTGTAAATTTTGTACAGTTTGAAAACGTGTAGATTGTCTGGTTTCATGAGCGCTATTTATTATTCTTGCCATGTGTCTTTGAAAAAGATGTGAAAGAGAGCACTGAATTTATTCATTTATGCCTTCTGTGTAATGGTATGAGCTGTGTACAGTTAAATCTATATGAGGAAAATAAAGCTGAATTGTCTTTGGTTACCCCTGAGATGTGCTTTTTTCACAGAGGAGGCTTGCAGTAACAACTGTGAGAGCTAAGATTGTCAGCCAAGCTTTATTTATGATACATCCAAAGAAAAATACGTCCTGTTGGTGTTTTTATTATTTTGCCTTATCGAAACGCTCTTAGAGCCAGTTAACCCACAAATTCATTTACCCATTGAGAGCATTTACCACACACTTAGGCCTCTATTCAATTGTGGAGATCCATTTAGTACCTCCAACAGGCACTGGTCAGTCATTTAACAGTGATCGATGCTGTTTTCCTCTCTCGCTCTCCGGGAGTGGGGGTGACAAGAAAGATGCATGAAAAGAAACTATAAAGGAGGACAGAGGGGAGGGGAATAAAACATGCACACAAACAGATGCCTTGCTGGCTGTTCCCCTGATCCTATCAGTGCTAAGGAGACACTGGAGCAGATTGCAGCACAGAAAAATCTACCCCTAATCCCCAGGCTGTTAAGTAATCGCATGGTGATTTGTGAAATATGGCTGTGTATGCTTTGTATTCACTCAAAAAGAAAATGTCTCTTATAATGGCAGTTATCTGATATGTCAGTATATCAGGCTTGTATACCCATTATCTACTAAATCACACTGTCAGCTTAGTTAATAAGCTATAATGGCATGAGATATACCTTGCAGCAGTCATTTCATTTTCCAGTGCATTGTCAAACATGAAGCAGACCATTTTTTTAAGTTTTTGTAGTGCTAGTCACCTTCATTTGCAACATTCTTATAGGAAATGGGAAAAAGAAACACATGCAGCAAAGGTCCATTGTGCAGCCATGAGTGTGTTTGAATGGCCTAGTCAAAGTCAAGACCTCAATCAAACTAAGAAACGGAGGTAATAATTGACAACTAAGTGATAATTTCTCAACAGCTGAATTGCAGTTTTAAAACCTTTTTATGTAGAAATCCACCCGTTCGTCCTTAAGGACCAGGAGGTTATAATTGAGTCAAGAAGATTGACAACTGTGTCAAATGTGAAAAAGTGTTTTTTGGTTTACAAATTACTCTCCTAAAGATAAGCAAAACATAATTTATGCACTGTTCCAAGGACAATATGAAGAAAATATACTGTGAGACAATTTTGTATTGTCATGGAAGACCCTGGATACGCTGGAGGGACTATGTCTCTGAGCTGGCCTGGTGTCGCCTCAGGGTCCCCCCAGAGCAGCTGGAGGAGGTGTGTGGATCAGGAAGTCTGGGTATCTTTGCTTAGACTGCTGCCTCCGCGGCCTTGGCGGAAGAAAATGGATGGATGGAATTTTGTATTGACAATGAGTCTAAAGGATGATTAAAGGAAAGGCTTAGTAAAAAAAACTACCACAATAATTTCTGAAAGCCAATTAATTAGTGAAATAAAATGACCAAATAACAGAGAAAAATGACAAAAGCTTTAAATCAGAAAAGAATACTCCAACTACGTACTGTGATCTCTTCAGTTAAACAGTAGTAAAGCAGCAATTACTTTAACCTAACAACTACATATTCTCTGATTTATCAATATTTTAAGAGTATAAAGGAGTTGAAAAAAATGAAAGAAAAAAAAAACTATCCATCTAGCCATTCCTTCAGAGTGTCTCAGATCCATAAGGTTCTGGAGAGAAACCGAAACATCTGACTCTCCACGCTCCAACTCTTCATCTCTTTTTACCTCTGAAATGTAAACTGAGGAGTTTTATTCATTATTTATTGTTCAAGGTTCCTGTCCTATATTCAGGAACATTTGGGGGATGAGGTCCATGAGGACGCCTGAAAACAGCCTTTATCAATGATGGTCTTCTATTTACTCTCACAGGAACCAACATAAAGCAGTGAGTTCTGTCTGTTCTCTGCCCTCTCTCTCTATTACATGGAAGAAAGGATTATCAACTCAGCACAACTGGCCTCCAAACAGTTGACCACATGTAACAACATCAGACAACAAAAACTCCACATCTAGCATCTTTGCTACTGTATCAAGATGATCTTAGACCAGCCAACCAGACAGTTGCTGCAACAATTGGTTTGTGAAACTAAAGAATTTCTGCAAAAACTGTCAGAATTAATTGTCATTACCAACTTAAGAGAACACATGCTCACATTTGATAATGTGGGTCAATAGTTTGTGGATATAGAGGTCCATACCATGAGGACATTAAGCTTATGGTATAGACAACAAATGTAGGTGCATTACATTGGAAACATTTTGAACAAATAGAGATAGAGTGGTGAGATCGTAAGGTATGCTATCCATATTCATCGGCTATTCAAGGTATGCATTCATGACCATCACCTCATGCTAGATAATAATAATGCATGGTCCTATGTTCAAGGATCTGTACACAATTTCTGGAAGCATCCCAGTTTTTACATGGCCACCATAAGAACCAGACATTTTACCCATTGAGTATGCTTGGGATGCTTTGCATCAGCGTATACAGCTGTGTATTTAAGTTTCTTCTGATATCCATTAGCTTTGCACACTTGGAGCTACATTCCAAATGCCACAACCAGAGATCTAACAAACTTTATGAGAGGGAGATGTACGACAGTAAGATAGGCAGATATATTGTCCTATTAGATACAGACTGCTTCCTAAATCTTCCTAAATTTTTTCCCAAAGTGGCTGGCTGGCTGGCTGGCTGGCTGGCTGGCTGGCTGGCTGGCTGGCTGGCTGGCTGGCTGGATGGATGGATGGATGGATGGATGGATGGATGGATGGATGGATGGATGGATGGATGGATGGATGGATGGATGGATGGTCTACCCCTTCTTTCATTACTTGGGCAGTTTCCAATCTCTCTGATCACTCTCTCTCTGATCAGGATGAAGTGGATGTGAAGAATGAATTAATTACGATCTTGAACAAGCATGTTTATTAGAATTAAAATAATTAGAAATAAATGAAATTTGTTATAATGAAATTAAACCACAGCGAACATCTGTATGAAACTCATTTCTATGTGAGTATGTGAAGCATTTGTCTAAGAACAGAGGAGTGTAACCCAAACATAAGTGCTATCGATTGCTTTGTTTTAGCTATTCTTTTTGACATTATAAAACAAAAAGGCAAACACTCATTCTGGTTGGAGTTTGCACGTTTGCATAAAATGCCACAAATCGAGCTGATTTTTATTTAAGCATTGATTGGATGGGCCATGGGCATTAATGGATAGAGTCTAATAGAACCAGCTTACAAAGATAAAGAGCTGCACAGACAGTTAGGATAATTTACACGCCACTTACAGCACTAGTATACATATAAATCTGAGGAAACTCCACCACTGTTGCTTTTGCAAAGATGACAAACACAAGCGCAAATGCCATTATCATCGATCGCAAGGCTTTTATTACAAACTTCCTAAAGGAAACTGCCTGTTTTTTTTCTTGCATGTAGCAAAAAGGAATAAATTAACATGCAAAACAGAGAGGATTTGTTTTGGACCGAAAGTCAATCTCAGCGCATTGAGAAAGGACATTTTTCTCCTCAAGTAATTCCAATCTAGCCCTGCAGTAAACAATGATCTGCATGATGGCTGAGTTGGCTGGAGTCAAGCTTAAGACTTTTAATGACACATTTAAGGTTGTTCTAAAGGGAAACTACGACTTTTTGGACAAAATAGTAGCTGGAGTTGCAGATATCAGGCAGATAACAGGTATCTTTAAAAATAAGATGTTGTGGGGTGGATTTCTTTTTTTTTATCATTTATGCTTTTTCCTGTTGATTTAAATAAGTAAGACAGATAATGAAAATAACCTGTGATCTCATTAAATGTTAGAGTTCTTGGAAACAATGAAACACTCTCTATACCCTCTGAACCCAACAGATATTCATACATTTTGATCTAAATCCATCCAGAGGGATACTATTTTACATCTGCCTCCATGTTGCATTTTGAAACTCTGGTCAACCTCTGTTCCAAACTCACGTCTTTAGTAAGAGCATTTTCTCCATGATTGTCCTAATCTAACCTTTATCTATCTTAAAGCTACAGTGTGTAATTTTCAGCGACATCTAACGTCCAGACTGCAGACCGCAGCAACATGAACATCTCCCCCCCACCGCTTCTCCCCCCAACAGTACGGCGAGCGTTACGGGACAAAATGTCTTCCACGACGTCCGCATCACCTACCTTCTCAAGTGATGAGGTTTGTTTACATAGATAATTTTACAGATAGTATTTCATTAGTCTGTGTAGAGTATAGATTTCATGTAGACTTAAACAACTTGCCGTAGTTACTTTTGAGCGTAATGGGCGATCTCGCAATCGCTAGTTTGTTGGCTCTGCGCTGCCGTAGCGCAAAGATGTCTGCCTCCATGGCTGCGAGACCCGCTCCTATGTAATTATAAATAACGAATTCTAAGGCAACGCAAATATTAAGGTTAAGAGGCTGAGCTCGTAGATGATGATAAATAACATAGTTATGGATAATATATTACATTTCTGACTGTATATCCCTGTAATTATTACACACTAGCTTTAATAACACTCTTACCAATTTCCATGTTCCTGATCAAGACAAAACACAGCATGATTGTCCCACAACTATGTTCCACTGTGAGATGTTCAAGGCTTGGGATATTGTTTTATAAATTAACTTTGGTTCAAGCTTCCTAAGTCCTGACTGGTCTGCAATGATACTTGCCTTTTATGATAAAAAATTTAAATAATTTACACACAAGACCCTGTTCACTAAATGTAATTCTGAATGGTTGTACTTGATTTTTATTAAGAGTTAATAAAGTAACTTAATAAAATAAAGCAGTATTAATACTAATGCTATGTTTGAAGTTGTGTGCTATGTACCTTCTATTTGGTAATTATGGAAGGCTTCATTCTGATCTATCTCAATGAAATTCATAAATTTTTTTGTCAAGTATGAGACAAAACAAATGATTCGAGAGATTTAAAGACAGAACCATTCTTGCACATAAAAGACATGTAGAATAAAATAGAAATAAGCATGACTGTTTCCAAGTGAAGAAAAGTAATGTGTCTA